GTGTAATATATACAGGGTGTTCCACAGCTACCCTTAATAGATTCCTGAGATCTTTTGGAAACAAAAATTTTAATAGGCTGCAGTAATTTTTAAATAGAAAGTTTAAAGCTGACCAATCTGGTTTCACTTCCCATTTAAAAAGTTGCAATTTCGACAATTTAATATTAAGATTTTCGAAATGATCTCAGGAATCTGTCATTAACGGGTGTTACGATCGATCTGAAACATCCTGTATATGTAACAGAGCTGAACTTCTTGATGTGAATTATAATATCATAGGCCTATGACGTTAGACTATACGCTGCAAAATATTTCCTGACGCACGAGTGAATTTGAACGACCCGCGTAAATACAACCCTGCGAGGTGTTTCTGAGTATTTGTCACGCGTTATGAATGCCATTGTGTTTAACCCCGTGTTTCTCATGTTGCTACGTAAATCATCGCGAGAGTGGTATGCGTGTTTCGCGCGCGATTAATTAAATCACTAGGAAGAATATCAGACTTGATGAAATAAAATCAATTAAAATCAACGAAGCTAATCGTAGCGAGTCGCTATGATCAGGCTACAGCAGGACTGATAGCTCGGAATATCACTTTCCTTTTCAAATGTATTCCAACATAGGAATAATTAGAAAACTGTTGTGTAAAATATACATCATGTGACACATAAGTAACATATACGATGAGATTTAAAGCTAATGTGATCAATATATATATACCTTTACAGACTGTGAGAAAATTCAGTACATCTGTGATGCAAATTTTTCGAACGAGAGTTATCCATATAAAGTGAGCGCCGCGTGCGATAGCGGAATGTATTAAAAAAATTCATTTGTTCTCTGTATTCGGAGCCTGTAGCGAAGAAACGTTATTGTCGCAAGAAAACTTAACATAAAATGGACAACAAAGAACTTTAAAGAAATCTTTATTCTTCAGGACACTAATGTTCAATGTAAACAAGCAACGCAATTATTCTGTAAATTAAAATTTCGAAGCGAACAGACGGAGTTTTAAAAAATAGAGCATAAATTATATCTACAATTTGTAAACGGCACTTATAGTTGTATCAGTTTTTAGTTTGTTAGTCTTTGAGTATCGGTATCAGTATTGAGTATCAAGAACGTTCGAGAAGGATGGTTGATAATAAAAACTAACAGCTGTTCACACCAGAAGAGATCTTCTATTTTTTTTCTGCGGTTTGAGTTCAAGTGGAAAATTTCGTTCTCTTTTTACGATAGATCGTTCTTATGATAGTGGGATAGTGGGTCTAGTGAGTCGTAGAGATCGGTTTCCTGTGGCACGGTCTCGTTGCCGAAATAGCTGCCGGAGTCTTTAAACTCGGGAACTACAACGATATTGATCGCGTCTCCCTTCAGTTCGTAATTGTCCTCTATAATTGTCTCTTCCACTTTTACTCTTCCTACGTCATGCTCTTCCGTGAGGTGCCTCAAGAGAGTGGATAAGGCATAGAATATCTTGTCACAAAGATTGCACTGATAAGTCTTACCGTCGGCCGCCCGCAAGCAGTGTGTATGCCCCTTCATTGGTTCATAGACCTTCCTGTGTAGCGCCATGTGCTTCTCGTGGTCCAAGGAGAGGATAAACTCGTAAGAACAAATCGGGCACTTCAAATTGTGCTTCGTCCATTTCGCGTGCACCTTAAGCCGATGCAGAGTCTCGTAGACCTCCCCACAGATAGGACACTTGAGGCATATGTGGTTTTTCAGAGTCTCCAGCTTTTCATATATGCCGTTACACTCGTTGCACTGGTAGGACTTTTGTTTCCTGCAGGTATGCTTGAACGAGTGTTTCTCCAGCTGCGCGGGCAGGTCGAACGATAACTCGCAAATTGAACAGATGAACATCCCGTGGTGGTCACGCTTCAACGTACGCTCGTCCCAGAACAAATGGAGCGACGAGCGGTAATGCATCTCATAATTATACTTGCGCAACAGGCTGCCATTGCAGGTTTCGCACTGGTTCTGATGCTTAGTTAAATGGGCGAATAACATTCCCAGCTCCTCGTTCGAATAATTACAAAAATTACACATGTAACTCTCCTCGGTCTGATGCACGTGGGAGATTAGGTGTGTCTGATACGGATTCGGATTGAAGAAGGTTGCACCGCACGCGGGACACTTCAAGTAGGGCTTTTTCCTGTTCGTATAATGCAGAGACAGCGGATTTAGTTTTTTGTTTGTACAGAGCAGGGACACCGGATGCATCTTTCTCATCCACTTGTCGTCCCTTTTGATCGCTTCCGAATCTTCACACGTGATGGTCTCGATTTTCGGTATATGCTCGCTCTCCTCGTTCGACGTGCTCTGGCTGGTCTCATCCCCTGGTGACTGATTAGCATTAGCCGCGTACTTTCGCAGGATTATCATCTTGTAATCGTGCTGTAACTGCTTCCACCTACCATTCATTTGATTATTGGCAATCTCTTGCATACTCCGCTCTAGTAATTCATCCATACTGACTTCTGTGTCCTTGAGAGATTCTAGCCGGGGCATCAGGATATAATTGTCATCCTCATTTGACACAGACGGTCCCACTTCTATCTCGCAGGAAACGTTAGAGGCTATGGGGTCCTTCGAGAGATACAACAGCTCTATCGAATCCGTATTCTCTTCGTGAGATTCAATTTCAGTTTTAATTTTGGGCTTCACGTTGTTGCGCAGCTTTCGTTCACTGGCGGCGGTGTGCTCATTCTTCTTGTGGCCTTTCCGCTTCCTGCTCTTCGTCCTCTTGTCTTCTTTCTTCGGCGTCGCATTTTCGCGTTCGAGCTTGTCATCCAACTTTAATATCTCATCAGTCTTCATATCGCGCCGCCTCATCGATATCGTATTTTTCTAGCGTAGTTTAATTATGTGTTTACAGTCGTGACATAACCTGACATTTCGGCATATCCTGCAAACAGTCGGGCAACGATGTGAAAAAGGAAACATTTCTTGCGTTTTGTCAAGCCTACAAAATTCCTTCTGTACTCACGTGTCTATAATTTACGCTGCTAATTGAAACGAGGCTTCTGTCAATCTGCGCTGTCACATTTCAAAGCCGTTGCATTGATTTTTTCGGGAATCCAGATTTTTCTCAACGCATCGCTTCTTATTTATTGGTCTGGAGTGCGATAAAACCGCAAGAACGCGCGTTTTAGCGTTCGTCGCTCGTTTACCGTGCGAGATCTCTAACATTGACCTTCTTCCCCTCGATAAAGCTGGATTAACTGTTCCTTGAGATAAATGGAGAAAGACCGATAGTTTTCGCTCATTGCAGTTGAGTCGCGCCGTCACTCATTACGTATCTATTGTTTTTTTATTAGTTTTAAGATAAAAGAAAATTCGATTAATAATTACTGACAATAATCAAAATAATTACATCGCAAATTGATATAAGAAGAGCTTATTAATCGTTTTCTTCCTCTTAATTATACATCTTGTTTGAATAAACTTTTTGTTTATGTTTTAGATAAAACATCTTAAATACGAAACGGAAGGAAAGAAAAATAGTATACACTTTTTTTACTCCGTGTATTGTGTGTTCTTTTTACTATTCATTAGTTGGACCATATTTATGAATTATATTTATGATTAGTGGACTATACACATAATTTGTAGACTACAAGATACATTTTCGTGATTTTGGTGTATAAAAGTTACACATTTCTTTCAATATACAAAGATATCTTTTTTTTATAACTACTATGTATACAACGTCATCAAAAGATTTGCGTTGTCTGGGATATTCGGAAGCAACATTCTACATTATTATATACAGCATAGAATTCTTAAACAAAAATCATAAAGAATTTTTAAATTCTTGAAATAAGTGAGTTAGAAATCTTACTTCGCTAAAATTTCTCTTAAACAGGCATCAAGAGGATTTCTATGTGCATCCTCCGTGAACTCTCCCGTTAATTCTTGTCAGTCTTCCTCTTTTTGTGATCATGTTCGTGGGCGAGATGGTCGATATGGGCGTCATGAGCATAGTCGTAATCGTGACTGTAACCGTGCGCCAATAAATGACCGAGCCCGTGGCCCAAGCTATGGGCGAGTGGAGGAACGCCGTGGCCCAAAGGCACGGCGACGGATGGGTGCAGATGGTGAAGATGGTCGGGTGCATAACTCTGAGGATAGATGGCACCAGCTAGACCGCCGGAGATCAGCGGAATCGATGGATGTGGCGAGTGCAACGGAATTGAAAGCGGGAGCGGCAAGGATGGCGAATGCACCGGAACTGGCACCGGGACCGGCACGGGTGGCGAATGCACCGGAACTGGCACCGGGACCGGCACGGGCACCGGCACCGGGTGCTTCACCGCGACCGGATACGGTTGATGCACTGGTACAGGAATCGGCTGCTTAACGGGAATCGGCACTGGACGTTCCACGGGATACGGCACCGCCTGCGGGTAAAAAATGCGATCGATTAATGTAAAATTTGTGAGTGGTGGCGTACAGAAACAGCTTTCAATTGTAATTTTAACGAAAAATCTGATTTAATTAAAATTGAATCACTTCTAGTTAGTATCTTTTAAGAATTTCTTAATATATATTATAAATTATTTAATTTAAATATTAATTTAACATTAATTCAGCGAGATTTCGCGCAAGAATCGCGAAGTTTATGACAATCCTTTTTCATTTTTGCAAGGAGATAGTTAAATTAATTAAAAATATAATATACTTGAGCTTTAAAATTTTCTGTAAAATAGAATTAAATTTAAAACGAATAGATTTATAATTTTTGAGATGCTTTAATTAAATCGTAAGATGATATTCTTTCAAGAGATTTAAAGTGGTTTTACTTGTTATTGTAATAATTTGAAATTTAATTATTAATATCGTTGATGTTAAATACAAAAAAAATGATAACAAATGTAATGAGTCTTGTAAAACTTCTCCCAATATAAAATAATTGTTATTAAAACGATTTTGCGTACAAATGAAAGCAAAATAATAGACAATATATTACCTGAGGCACCGGTACCGGAACGGGGATCGGTTTGTGAATGATTTTTTCAATTGGCACCGGCACGTGATACGGTTTCTCGATGATCACCGGCTCTGGAACTGGCACCGTCTTCTCCAGAACCACGTGTTTCGTTATGTATACTGGTAGAGAGCTTTTCAGAATTCCGGGTGTCAGGGCGATGCCACCTCTGCCGTAAGCTGGAAGCTCATCTGCCAAATGCAATCTGCAGAAAACGTTAGCAAATATAAAGCTTAACAATCAATCACTCTCGTCATCACACTTTTAAAGAAATATTAAACAATGAAGAATCAGAATACGCAATAAAGATTAGTAAAAGAAGAAAATAGATATCGACTAGAATATACAAGTGATATTTATTTAGCTGATAATAATATTCAATTAAAATTATCTCAAAAACGTTAAAACTTAGTGCTGAAGGCACAGAATACAATGATAAATTTACTTTAATTCTATTCAAAATTACAAATTTATCATTTTTACATTAATTACATATTTTTACCCCGCATGCAGATTGACTGCAGGTAGTTTGAATCCTTTCAAGGCGATACTGTCGATCGACCACGGATGTCCATGTCCGTATCCTGGTCCTGGTATGCCGATCCATCCATCGTTTGCAATGCCTCGTTTCTGCGGCTTCTCAATTTTTGGCACCGACGCGAACGCGCAGGTGCACAGTATTGGCAGGAACAGCTGAAATAATTACAGATATAATGAAGGAATCCACTTTATTTCGAACAGTGTCGAGACAGCGAACGAATCAGCTTGTGTATCCGCGTTACAACTTACGAGAATCTTCGACATTGCTCTCTCGTTGCGGATAAACTGTTCATAAGGTCGTCACAACGACAGCCTTTTATATTTGCAGATCGGACCATTGACGGCTGGACGGATCTAGATCGAGGAACAGGTCGGCTTCCCGTTTATGATCAAGGAACTCACCTTTGTCCATCGGTACGCCGTGTTTCTGGCGATGAAAGTTGCCTGCGAACAATCCAGTTCGCGGCGACATTTCACGATAACGCATTAAGCCTAATAGCTCGTAAACTAAAAAAGAGCAACATACGTACTACATTATGGTACAATAAACATTATAATTAATATTAAATCAATATTGAATACACGCAGAATAATTAAACAATTGATGTGTGATATTAAATTCGTGCCTTTAATACGAATATGGAGTATCAAGCTGATATTAAATTAATTAACGTTAATATATGCGTGTGTGTCTTTCGCCAAGAATGACACTGGTTTCGCATTAGATTGCGAGCTCTGATGTTGTAATTACATTCGTAGCGTTTGTACCACTTACCTACATCCCTATACCTATTTAATTATGCCTGAACTGCACTTCCGCACACGTACGGTGAAAAGAAAAGAACGCCCAAGAATTCCGTGCGCTGTTCAATGCTACACTTGCGTGAAGAATTGAGCGTGATATAATTTGTAAATATTTAAATAATTTTCGTTTGCATTGACATTCGACATTGACTGCGTAAGTCTAAATGTGCTGTTCTTTTTTTATATAGCTCTATTTAGAATAAAGATTAAGAAGAACAATTAATAGGGAATAAAACTAGTTTAAGTGTCTCCGAGAAACTAGAAAGATCTGTGCTTTGGGCATTTAAATGTAACAGACATAAAAGTGCTAATATATATATCTTAAATCTAAATTTACAGGAGACATTAAAAATTGTTTGTTATAACATATTCTGATTAATTTATTAAACTTTGAATTTAAAATGATTTGAAGTTGTTAATAAGTAAGTTTTTGGGATTATTTAAAAAAAAATTGATACACATAAAAAGATAAAACTACTATCATAATAACAGAAAAGGTGAAATTGATCAAAAATTCGAGATACAAGGCTTTGGATTTAAGGCATCGATTTGCAAAGCTAAAAAGCAGAAGAACTGTAGTGTAAATGTATAAAAAGGATCAAAGGTCATTTTAATGAACGTTTTCCGTTTCTTGGGTAAACAGCTTTACTTCCTCGACAAATTATATGTTCACCGGCCGTTTCTTTGTTACACTGCACCCGGCGTACGTGTGCATTTCGCTAATTCGCGATACGTGGCTGGCAAACCTTGGCCAACTAGGTGTGTATGCTTGCTGTTACGCGTTCGCTGGCTTGGACTCGCCGATGAATAATGAATGGCGGATAGCGCGCGGTCGGCATTAGGAACGACGAGAAGTGTTAGAAAATGAAAGTTATGAAAGTCCTCGCGGGTAACGCGGAAGCATGGCGGAAAACGTACCCGTCTCGGTCTCGTTGACCAAATAAAGGGAGAGTACTGAAGGGAGCTGCATGATCTCCGCCGTATTTGCATTCGTCGTCGCACACATGATTCCATATGTATTGTTAATTATTTGCCATTATTTTGATATCAAATTTCTCTCCCGGCATATTCTTTTGACGCTCAATCGCATCCTTCGAACATACAATAATCGTGTAATTTATCTACTTCCGCTTTACAAATACTCGTTAGACTATTTATACTTATAAACTAGCGTGTTAAGAAATGTATCAAGATTTATTCAATACTATTTAATAACAGAAAGAGAGAGAGAGAGAGAGAGTCATCTCGTAACTTCATAATATTAGCATTGTCAATGAACACCATCGATTCCGGTAGCGTTCCGCGCGATATTAAATTGAACACTCACGTATCGGAAGCGATCGCGGCTATCTATCGATCTAGAAGGCCGAACGGCGATCGCAAATCTTTAGCATGATTCCTGCATCGTTAATGTACGCTCTGTAGGATTCGTTTTGCGATTCGTCTTCCTCGTCGCTGTCATCTGACTTTGTGGGAAAGAAAAGCGGCGCCGATCGCTATTTGGCTGCCACCCAGGTTCGGGCAGCAGTGAAAGTGTATCGGCCCATAGAATCGCTCCTCTTCTTCTTCGGTCGGTTGGGTGATGCGTTGAGTGATGCCCTATAAATACTTATGAGGGTCACTCGTTCCGAAGCGAACTCAGTTTTTCGTCGGCATCGCGATCAGCAACTCAGCCAAGTCATGAAACTCCTTCTGGTATCAGTGCGAATCTTTGCATTTACTCATTATCGATCGTATCTGATAGCGACACTGTAACGAGAAATGGTGACACGTTTATTCAGTGACTTGTGTATCATTTGTGTATTGCCATGGACGATAGTGCACTTATAACATCACGCGTTTGTAAAATACTAAAACAAACTAAAATAATCGGAATTCTTTTGAATATTACTGATTCTATTAAATTTTCGTTACAGAAATATAAGCAGCTACTTTTATCGCATAACATCATATTAATCTTCATTGATTTTATTGACCATTTTTAAAATAAATATAACAACTCTTCGTACGATACGACTTTGATACGCGCGCGATTCACGTTTAATGTCTTTCGCGTGATAAATTTAATTAAAATAAGTTGTCTGAGAATTTTGCAAAAACATAGATTATCTGATATCTCTTCGTTATATCTTCACAGGTAATGTTGCTGGTGTTAGCTAGCAGTATAGCGATTACCGTTGAGAATAATTTTGAGCAACGAAACAGCGCTTTCATAAAGAAACATGATAAAAGAGGTCTAGACGGCTTGACATATGATTTGCAAGAACACCAGGAACACGCGTACGGCCCGCCGATACCACCACCTCCAGTTTACGAGATCCCAGCGCCAGACGCTGCACATCCGGTACCGGGACACATACCGGAACCGTCGCCTCCTTTCGCCGTTGGACATCCAGGCGGTTCGTAAATTTAATACATATTATTAATCTTAAATTTAATTAGACTATTTTAATATAATAATTAATTACGTAATAATAAAGAAATTAGAAATAACAATAATGTAACTTGAAAAAATTAAATACTTAAATAATTTAATTAAAAAGTTTAAAAGTGTTTGAAATAAAATATAGATTAGTGATGTGCTTTTTTAAGATCGATAGCTACAAATTGTCTTCTCTTTACAATTTTATCGACGGAAAGTGAAACTATGGGCTTCTTTATTTGAACTCTGCTTATTACTAGATCATTGTTCAGTAATTATCGCAATTATAATTTGTTTATATATATAGATTCGATAACATCGTGTTATCTTCCAGCAGTGCCCTTCCATGTTCCGCATCCGGTGCCGCAACCAGTCGCGGTGCCGGTGGCGGTGCCGGTCACCAAGCACATAGCGTTTCCTGTGCCCGTGCCGATCCACATTGATCGCGCTGTACCGGTGGCGGTGCCGGTGCCCAAGCCGTATCCCGTCACCATCGAGAAGATCGTTCCGGTGGACCGGCCGGTCCCGGTGCCGGTCGAGAAACCAATCCACATCCCGGTGGATCGGCCGATCCACGTGCCCGTGCCGGTGCCCAAGCCATATGCCGTCACTCTCGAGAAGATCGTGCATGTGGACAGACCGTATCCGGTGCATGTAGCCGTGCCGGTGCACGTGCCAAAACCGTATCCGGTACCGGTTGCTATTCACGCTCATTACAAACCGCACGGCTGGTGACCGGCTTGTACTCGCGTTTTGTTGTAACTGCGATCGTATTCTCACTTATATTCGTTGCTTAACGTATGGATAATGTTTATAATAATATAAATGCGGTGTATATTTTTCTGTAGAATTATTATTAATTATATTATTATAATTAATCTTGCCTGACTGAAGTGTACATATTAACTGACGAAATTTTGTACGCGTCTGTTTTTTTAATAAACAATATTATTAGATAAGACGTATTTACTTTCTCTGTCATATTTTTTGTATTTATTTACATTTAGGAATTCTTTTATATTTTTTTGTTACTTATTGATATAAATTTTGAATGGTTTTTTTAATTAGCGGGTGTGCGTAAAGTGTTAAATCTTTTTTTTTTATTGAAACTTGACAGCACTAACAACTGTTATCCGTCGATGTAATGTAATCGATATAACATGAACTTGTTCAATTAGTAAGTATCGTTATTATTATTAATGCAATAACAAGCCACGACACATAAGGTACTTACAAGGTGATAACAAGCTATGCATTTATATTCTTTAGCAAAGAATTGTTTAAATCTTTAAACTGTCTTTTAGTATTGAAACGTCCTTGTCCTTTAAGCATATTACATATTATATATTATATATTAATAATTTTTTAGATTGATGTGAATATTTTTGTCTTAATAATTCATATTTTATATTTTATAACAAATAATATTTAATGTTTAACTTTAACATATTAACATATTAACTTTAACATATTAATGACAATAATTTCTATCTCAATGACTTTATTGAAGCCAGAATAAGTAATCATAATAGTAATAACTTGTCAAGTTGCATCATTTTATATTCAATATTGCAATCAAAGTTTATACTTTTTGAGGAAAAATTTTATTGTTTAAAATAATAGATATATATTTTACTAAGTGTATCAAAATAGTGAAAGAGTTAGTGTTAGTGCTTGTGACGTTTTAATGATGTCATTTATATGCATATATTGTTTCAGAGATAAGAGCTGGGAATTAAAATGGATGAAATATTGTAATGAAAAATAAAATGTTTGCTGAAAACATGTAAAAATTGTAAGTACGAAAAATTTTGCGCATCGCGACAGCTGGCAACTGTAATACATTGTAGGGGAAGACACTCGGCCAATGAAACTCTATCGCGTGTCCTCGGACCTCCTCCTCGGTACTTGCGCATCGAGCGGTGGAAATATCGCATCTACCTCATATAGGCGGAAAAGTGTATCAATGAAGAAGACACGGAAAGGTCGCCTTTTCCATGTAGCGATTCTCTCATGCATTGTTGACGAGCGAATGCTTATTGTTAGCCGAGGCGTCGCGCACTACCACTGTTCGTGTCAGGAAGCGTAAAGAACTCCTGCTTTCATCTACAAATTGTATCAATTTCGAAGAAATATATGAATTCCCGATTATTTCCGATCGATTGCGATTGATTAGTTTTGTGCAAATTAATCATTAATGTTAATAAAAATGCATCAATTTTCTTTAAATCAAATGAAGCTCGATGAAATGTCAATAAAACACATATTTTCAGGATTTTCAATAATTATTATGTTTATCTAAAATTTATGGTAAAAAAATTAAACAAATAAATAATCTCCTTTTTAGAACTTACGTTCACATGGAGAAACACATTACTATTTTTGTTAGGATTTATAAATCGTCAAAAGTTAATTAATAATTTAATTAAATTTAAATTTGATTAGTTATGACTCTTGCAATGTAATCAATTAATTATAGTAATCATTCATTGTTTTTACTTTTTTAATATAATACATTATGTTATTTTTAAAAGTTTTCTTGTATTATATGAGCAGCAATAAAAAAGTATCTAAACTGAGTTTATTTAAAAGAACTGCAAGAAACAGATTTGTGACTTAATCCCCTTGAAAATAATTTTCTTTTGAAGCCACACACTTAATCCAGTGCTATTTCTACTGTTTGTAATTTTTTGAAGTCATCTTTTGAGAAAATTGCATCATTGCATTTTATGTTATTTTCTTAATGTCTTGAAATCTTTTCCTTTGAAGTTGAATTTTATTTTTGATCTTAATTTGGGCTGTCAATTTTGGGATCCATAAACTCACATCAGTTATGATAGTTTTTAAAAATGCAAATTTATTGCTCAATTTTTTCTGACATGACAAAACAGCTTCTTGCTTTCTCAGAAAATAATTTAAAAAAATGTTTTGAACGGTGAAAATAGCGCTGGGCTAAATGTATGGCTTCGGAAGGCAACTACTTTGAAAGAGATTAAATTTCAAATCTGTAAGTTTTGTAATATTTTTTAATAAACCTAATCTGAATATTTTTTTATCACACCTTATATATTTTTTATTTTCAATATTTTAGATATTTTATTTTACTGTTTTATTTTGTAGTTTTAAATATTGTATTTTTGTTTCTATATTTGTTCAATGCAACTCAAGTCATAAAAAGTGAAATTATTTTTATTCTCACATGATGAATAGCTGCTTTGTCAAATACACTGTTCAACAAATAAGCATGACAAAAGACAATCGAACAGTGTTAGCAAAGAGGGTTATCTATACTCGATCTCGATACATCAGCGATCGTGCGAACGGACGCAATACTTCGGGTTATTATCATTATTGATCACTGTTCACTTCTACGTCCGTTCCGTAAATAAAATGCAAAAACACATGGACGTTCTCGCCGTCTGTCATCCAAGAAATGGTTTACGTCATCCGGTCAGATTGATGTGATCTGAAAACAGTAACCCCGTTACAGTATTATTTATGGGCAAACTGCTATCTCTCTGGCACCATAGCTCTCAGTATCAGTACGCTTAGCGACGTAGGTGCGTGATTTTTTTCTTTCGCAGTATGAAGTGCGAATGCTCTGTTTCTGTGAAAAAATATTCTGTAAATTTTTTTTCGCGCAAAAATTCTATGATTAATTGTGCGCAATTATGCAGAATTTGAATTTTACAGTGAAGTTTAATACTTACATGATATTGAGTGTAATTTGCAGTCTATGTATGTTATGTGATGTCAAAAAATAGTGTCAAGAACTTCTTGTGAACTTAATAAGATATAGTGTTTTTAATTACAATTTTTGCTTTATGATTTAATTATGCATATTTAATATTGTGATATTAACAAATTGATGAAATCACGGAACTCTCTCTAAGGAAAATGGAATAAAGTGTGAAAATAAAATTGAGTTATTGAGTTTTATCTTAATTGTATTATTTGTTTTTATATACAAGCCATAATTTTCAAAAATTAATTACTAAAATATAAAAATTAAATATATTAGAAAATCTGAATTAATTGTGTGCAACAAGCAATTTAAATTTTTTTTAATTTTAATAAATTAATATATTAATAAATTTTGTTATTTTACAAAAAATATTAATTAAATATTGAAATTATTAGATAAAAATAAATTATAAGCTTAAATACTATGGTTATTATGTGAAAAACAAAAATTTTTATAATTTTTTATGGTTTGCGGCTACTGCCGTATATAATAATTTTTGATATAAAATTTTCTTTGTGTATAATTGATTTTTTTTTCTTTCTTTACATATGCTGAAATTTTTTTGAATGGATAACAAAGTTATAAGTATAACGAATTAAAGAGTTAAATTTTAATTTTTTCTAATTGTTGGAATTTTTTCTCTATTGTTGCGTCAAGGGTGGTTTTTTGACGGTTGTCATAACGTTTTGAGAAAACATGTTCAAAACTTTGATTGCCACTTTGTGAGAAATGCGACTTTCTTGCATATACCGATTTATTTTAATGAGACCTCGATTATGATAACTACGTCTACGATAGACACTAGTAATAATGCATAGAAGTTGCTTGCAGCAAGTGCTATAAGAATCTATAGCGAGCTCATATTTAATTGATCCTTCGACGCCTTTTGCGCTCGATAGGCGTTACACTTGACACCAAAGAAGCGGATCCATAACGCCGACTTAAAGGCGACAAACATTATTGCGATCGAAAAAAATGAACTTTGAGATCAATTGCAACGGTGAAACAAAAAGACAAAATTTTAACGCAGCGAGATAAAATTATTTTGATTTTTTTTATCATTGTCATCATATTAAATGCATTAATATTCATTATTCTAATTTTGAATGTATTTTTTATTTTCTTTGGTTATAAATAATATTATGAGAATGTTTTAAATTAAACAGAATGGCCCACATAACTGTTTACAGCTTAATATCTCAGAAATTATGCGATCGATTTTAAAAGTTGAGGTCTTGAACTGTGTAGCTTTAAAGGGCCTTCAAATTTGAATTTAAAATTTGAAATGGAAATCCCTATACAAAATTATATTTTTAAATTCTGAAAGAAAACAACTGAATCTTATTCGAAACATTTTTATCAGATGTTTCTATGAAAAAACACGACGGCTTGAAGTTTCGACTTTAGCTATTTAAAGCGTTCAGGAATAATCATACGAAATAAAAATTCCAACATTTTATTCTGACTTATTCAATTTACTAAATGTTTAAAATGTCCATCATTGTAAACTTGTAACACTTGTAAACATTTATTTATTCGAATTATTTCTAATATTTGATAGCATTTCGAGAGAATATGCAACACTTGCGCTTGCGCTTTAGTAACTCTTGAGCGCTTCAAGTAGCTATAAGTCGAAACTTTACACTGTCATATTTTTTCAAAGAAACATCTGACAAAAAAATATTTTCAATAAAACTTGTTTTCTTTTATTGAATCCAAAAATGTATTTTTGTATGAGAGTTCCCATTAAAAATTTTAAAGTGAAGAAGATTTTGAAGTAAAGTGAAGAATTATGTGAGCCACGCTATATATTTCTATATTAATAGATAACCTATTTATATTATCTAAAATGTAATAACTTATAAAATGTAACTTATAAATGTAACTAATAGTTAATTTTCTGTTGCTTAAGATTAACATACCGATCTTAGTACTTAATTTTTATACAATTTCAAACTAAAAATCTTTATATATAATTATGGTTTTAATTTTATAGATGTAAAATTAATAAGAATAGCAATACATATTTTTTGCACATTGAACTATACGCTGCAAACTATAGATATGCAAACTACCAAATGCACATATAATCGATAAAAATGGACGAACTATGTATCTTTGTCTAACAAAATTTAATTGTTTGATCATTCATATATAAATATACCATAAATAAACAGAAACATATAAAAATAAAAATTTTATAAAAAAAATTTCTCGGTAAAAGAAATGGATGTCGGTTGTCGAAAATATTCATATCTAAAAAAGCAGACACACACCAGTTACTAAAAATATTCTTTTTTTTTTAATTTTTATATTTTTCATCATTTATCTCATCATGTTTCATCATTTTTGAAAAGTTTTGATTACTTTCTTTGAATTCTTTTATTTAAAAACATTTAAATTATTGTCATTCTGGATTTGGTAAAAAATTTTTGGGATAATTCTCTACTTTTTATTCCAAAAATGTATGCAAATTGTATATATAAATGTTTAATAGAATTTAACACTTGCCTTAAACTTTAAAATTTTATTATAAAATAATTTTAAAAAATTTCAATATATATATATATCGTTTTAAATGCATATTTATTTTAAACGTCGATAACTTAATATTTTTTAGATTTTACGTATTCGTCTTTTTCTAATATCTCTTTTCTTAATTTTTAAATTTTAATTTAACTTTAATTTTTTAACATGTACAAATGGTTATATCTTTTAATCTAAAAGTATTTACAGTTTTAGTAAATATTTTTAAAATATTAAATTTTATTAACAACCAATTATAAAAAGACGTAAACTGGCATCATTTGGAAAGCACAGAGAATAATGTTCTTTATTTATTCACGATGCAATCACAACTTCGATTTGCCTACTTAATGTGTATATTTTATAATTATTTTGATTGTTTCTGAGCCGGTAAAATTAATCGAAAATAAAAATATCATACAGAGTCTATAAGAACTTTACTGAAGAAATATCTGTCTTTCGATTGTGGTTCAATAAATCCACCCAAAAGCGACTGATCGCGCAGTCGCAAACCCCGATATCGTCGAATCACAGTCGAACAGCACAGATATGCGTGGATATGTGAGAATGTGTGAATATGAGAGCAACTTTGTAGGAGTGGATAGTTCAGTGATGAGAATTGCTGAGAACCGACGACGAAGAAGTATATCCAAACTCGGAGCTCAAGACGTCGACAAAGTGTGTATCCTGCCGCACAATCTTCAAAGAAGAGTTTTTTTTTCAGGTGTGACATAGGTACTTTACGAGAACAGAAAATTTAATGAAAAGATAAAATTGAAATGTAAAATCCCAAGACTTAAAAATCAATTTTGAGATTTGTCGATTTTAGAACCAAAGATTTTGATTATTTGAAGCTCAAAAAGCTTGCGTGTTAATCTTGAAAACTAAAAATTTATTAATTTTTAAATAAAATAATATCAATATTTTTTATTAAATTGAAAAATAGAGGAATTTATTAAATCTGAAAATTTAAGAAAGAATCTAGAGAGTCTAAAACAAGGTGTCTTTTGAGAATTTCTTCGAAAAAGTGTAAAAAAATATTAATATAGGGTTTTGAGAATTTTACATAATTTTTTTGTATAAAAAAAATCAACAAGTCCAGATCAGTTTTATATTGAACCTTCTGGCAAGATACAAAAAATAGCGGAAAAAATTGCAGCTAAACGGAAAGAAAAATTAAAAAATGTTTAAACTTACCACTAATTGTGTATGCCAGAGCCATGTAACAATCCTTCAAAGTTCTAAAAATATTTATTTCGTTTTTTCCTCTAGTATTTTAGCCGTTCTTGCTTTTTTGAGAAGAGTGACGCTCGGGTGTTCACAGCGTCAATTCTGCTCTTGTTTTTTGCACAAATTTTTGCCTGTAGTTTAACAATGCGACCAAGCGTTAAAAGACGCATTACAATTCGGTGATTTATTTACAAAAGAACTGTCGAAAATAACTGTTCAAAAGCAAACTGTTACATACCATATCTTTCGCTCTGAAGCTTCGTTAATTTTATGAATTTTGAAAAATCATTTTAACCACATATTCTAGACGTATTAAAGGTACAAAAAAATGTAAAAAAATTTGATGTTTTTGGATTCTCTAATCCAGAATTCTCCCTCCTAAAATGCTATTAATTAAAAGAATTAAAAGTTTCGTCAATTTTAGGAGCCAAGAATTTATTAAATTTAAAAATCAAGGATTTTGGGGTCTAATTTGCACTGAGATTCAGAGCAAAAAATGGCAACTTTTCAAGAATTCTTTTCCAAACGATTGAAGAGCGATTTCGCGCGTCGCTTTTTGCGTCGAATAAACGATGCGATACATAATCCGAATCTGAGGGGTCTGTTATCCTTTTTCACGATCGGCAAGATCTTCAACGTCACACTTTGCGTTATTGACGAATACAAGGTGTTAATACTTTGTTATCAAAATGACGCTGGATAGAAAGTTTAATTCAGTGCATTTGTGATGTGTTCTTAGAGTAATAACATGGTGTCGACGAGAAGGCTAGGCCTCGCCGGTTCCTGTATGTTTTCTGTTGGCCTCATCAGTTATACCATAGGATTTCCCGCTATGCTGAAATTGCAAGTAAAATCTGTAAGTAACAATGATTATATCATATATTTTCGATTTTACAAGTTTTTTTTTGAAATATTAAAACTAAAGTTAACAAATAAGCTTTTTTTCAAAGTTACAACACACTTACAAATTTAGCTTCAAAGGATTTAATCTCTAAAATTTAAATCTCTAAAAATGCATGATATTTTTTAAAAACAATTTTAAATAAATTTTGCTATAAATTAAATTTTTTATATAAAATTTATTAAGAAAGCGATTACTGAGATATTTAATGCTAAAAATAAATAATAATGTAGCGATCTACCAGAAAATTTTATATTTTTGAACACATAGCTTAGGAAAAGAAAAAAATAATATTTTATTCTATAATTTTACAGCAAGTTAGATTGAAAAAAGGAGATGAAATGCGTGATTTTTGGGAGAAACTTCCGCAGGCGCTGAATTTTAATATTTATGTCTTCAACGTAACTAATCCGAATGAGATCAAAACTGGTGCGAAACCAATTCTCGAAGACATCGGACCATTTCATTATGAGTGAGTAATCAGGGACGGATTTCGGTTTCTGCCGCTCCTAGGCTGAATCAAATTTGCCGCCCCTTAATGACAGTGGAACAAGGGGGAATTTTTTTATCAGCATGTAAAACATATAAAGCCAGAAATGTAAAGAACGTAAAAAAATTTTTAATATTAAAAAAACTCAAAGAAAAAATTTCAGCAAAATCGGTTGAGAATTGGAGAAGAAAAACGGGAAATAAATTTCGCCGAAAACGCCGGAAAAAATAAACTTTATACGCTCTTTAAC